TATCTGTACCATTTGACGTTCCTTGCTCAAATCCGCTTTCCACTACGTTCCAAGCTGCGTTGTTTACCTCACAAGCAGAAAACTACTTCAGAATCCGCCTTGTCCATCTACTATGAAAGTATAGCATAGTACAAGAGTACGTGTCAAATTTGTGAATGATCAATCAAATAGTAAAGGGTGTATAAATCAAAAAATAAAATGGCGCGAATTTCACAGTTTTCATAGCAAAATCCAAAAGGTGATAGATTTAGAAAAGCGGTCTTCCCCACACTATGACTGGGTTTTGAGCGGTTTTGACTGAAAGTTCCTGGGAAGTTGCTATGAAATTGCTATGAAATTTTATAAGGGAAACAAATCAGAAATCGGGATTCGGAGATCCCTCCTACAATAGCAGTCAGTGGTCAGTAGGGTTATATCAAGATTAAGAATGTATATAGGTAGTGTAAGGTGTCAATTGTCTGAATCAGGATTTTCAGGATTAGAGATTTTACCTGATTAACAACTATTCTTTTTAACGATTTAGAAAATATACTTATATAAAATGTTAGTAAGATGTCTTTACATTAACATTACTCTCCAGATGGCGCGTCTATAACACACCGGAACCCGCGCAACAGAGATCCAGGATTTCCACCAAGCCGACTGGCGCATCGGGTAAAATCTAAATTCTCCGCCCAACCCCCACCTTTTAAAACATGCCCCATCGCCGGTCTCAGGTCCCTGTGGATTGACATTGGGTGGTGCAGTACGGTAATAGTTTGGATCATACCAATCCGACACCCATTCCCAGAGGTTGCCCGCCATATCGTGTGCGCCGTAAGGGCTCGCGCCTTGTGGAAACTGTCCAACGGGTGCGGTTTCTTTATACCCATCTTTGAGTCCGGTACCGTCATTTCCGCTGAGTTTTGTGCCATCCCATTCATTTCCCCAGGGCCAAAAGCGTCCATCTGTGCCGCGAGCGGCTTTCTCCCATTCCGCCTCCGTGGGCAACCTCTTGCCTGCCCACACGGTATAAGCGGCAGCATCCTCCCACTCCAAGACAACCGCAGGGAAATTTGGAGTATTATAGGGCAGACGATCCAGATAGTGTTTGGGTTTATAACCGGTCTCGCTGAGAAATTGTTTGTATTGTTTGTTTGTTACTTCATACTTGTCAATATAGAAGGTATCGACAAAGACAGTGCGTTGGGGACGTTCATTGTCAAACCGGGCAATATCGCGTAGCGGAAAAATCTCTTTAAAACGTTCAATATCGGCATCGCTGGTTCCCATGAGGAATTCGCCAGCGGGGACATAGACCATTACGGCTTCATCTTTAGGGGTTGTGATGGTTTGAATGGGAAGAGGACCAACAAGAGGGGAACTCGATCTCTCTCGGCAGGCGAGTGCGAATAATGTAGAGATCCAGAGAACAAACAGGATTCTAATTTCTTTAGATTTCATTTCTAACAAAGATTGGAAAATGGGAAGGGTGGAAGGATGGGGATTGCTTCTTCCATCCTTCCATTCTGTCATTCTTCCATCCTATCGAACTGCTTTCAGGTCACCCCACGTTGTGGAGAGTTTACCAGCAGGTTCAACCCGATACTGAGTCCATCAGATAGATGATAATTTCAGCAGCGACAGCACCTTTCGGTTCATCGCCACCATTGGTCTGTATCACTGGAATGAGCCGGCCGAGGTTGCCATCGCGAACAATAATCGGATCCGCACGGGTGCCGTCATCGTTTTGTGCAAGGGACACTTCGACTTCCCAATTACCAGTCGAGTTCATCACGTGGAAGGGACGGTCAGAGGCAAAGTCGGTTAAACTTGGAGAAATGAAACTGGCTTCCCCTGTGACTTTCATAGGCGTATCATCGTCCCACATCACGATGTCATCGATATCCATCATGTTTTTCAGACCACCCTCTTCATTTCTGACCAGCCAAACCCCAGAACATGTAATCGGCGTGGTTAATGAAAGCGTCCCCATCGGTGGTTTCGATGAAGGTCTCGGCGATAGAACCATCGGTCTGTGTATTGCCTTCCGGATAGATTTCAGGTGGGAAATCACCGTAGAGGACGCAAATATCCAAGCCTGTCGCCGGTGACACTTTCCATCCAATCGGCTAAATCACCTACGTCGCCATCGCTATCATACCACGTGACAGCAATATCCGCCTCCTCTGAGCATACCGACACAAATCTCTGCCTGTTCGTCAGCCGCTGCCTTACCGATCCATTGCGTGATTCCGGTGTAGATAACGACATTCACCGGCAGCAAATACGTGTGCTAAAGGGAGTGCCATCAGGGCAATAAGGGTGAGCGCAAGAAAAATATTTCGCATTAAATTTTATCTCCTTCTTTTAATATCTCCCCACAAAGCGGGAAGTTTATCTTGCGGGTCAACGTCAAGTGCGCCGACCACCTCAAGGTAGTAGTTGAGAATAATTTCAGAGATGACTTCACCTTTCGGGTCATCTTGGTTAGCCGTCTGGTAAACCTGGATGAGTCGTGCATCCGTCTTCCCATTGTGGACGATACATGGGTCGCAGCGATCGGCTTTTTGATTTCCAGTGTCGGTAGCGAATGCGACTTCCAGTACCCAATCATTGTCAAGCAGGTCAACGTGGAAAGGACGGTCTGTCGCGTAATCTTCAAGCGATGGTGTCAGTTTTTTCCCTTCTTTTGTGACCTTCATAGCGGTATTATCATCCCACTGCACCATGTTGGGAATATCCATCATATTCTTGATACCGCCTTCCTCATTCCTGCCGCCCAATCCCCAGAAAAAGTAGTCGGCACTGTTTGAGTAACTATTACCTGCATCCAGGAACTCTTCCGCGACCGTCCCTTTCTTTGCGTCTTTACCTGCATCGTAAATTTCGGGCGGTACATCACCGAACAGGACAATGAGGTGGTGTCCTTTGTCCACAGTGTGCTTTTTGGTCCAGGCTTCAACCTGTTTTGCTGGGCCGTGGAGAATGACTTCACCAATTCCTTGTTGTCCGTCAATTTCTGCTGCCAGTATTTCGGCTTCTTCCTTGGCTTGTGCTTGGCCAATCCACTGCACCGTGTCTGTATAGATGAAGACATCTACTTTATTCGCGGCATCAGCTGTGGGTGCCCAGAGTGCGAGGGTCGCGGCGCATAGCACGCCAGCAACAATCATAAAAAATCTCATGTAAAGTTCTCCTATAGGTTCACGTGAAATGTGAGAGGTTTATAGTATCAAACCTCGGTGAAATGTAGACATTGCGAGCAATGTCTACAACTTGCATTTATCTTACATTTTTTACAAAAATTTGTCAAACAAAAAATTGAATACTCCGATCCCGTTTAATTGCGTGTAGCCCCAATACGGAGATTGAGGCTACAGCTTAACAGAGGATTCCAATGACAGAATCTACCGGCGTGACTTTAGTCGTCCCCATACAACGCTAATCTTACCGGAGGGCTCTACCGCTTTTGCGGTCGCAAAACGGTTTGAAATGAGTTCTGCGTACTCCGTAGCGAGCTGATCATTTGGCGGTATCGCAGTGCCACAGCACGAGGTGTGGAAATTGATGAACCACCCCTCCATGTCTTTTGTGCGGTAAGCAATGGGATCGGCGTTTACGCCATCGTCGGCGTAACTTTCATACTCAAAATCGTTTTGCTTCAAAACAGCGAGACCCGATGCACGATTTGAATTCCACTTTTTGAGGGAAGGTATATACTCCTTACCAAGATCTGTCGGGCTGACTGCTGAAACAGTACCATTGGTAACCGTGGCACCAAAGACACTTTGTTGTCCAGCACCGGCAGCGGTAACACGTGCCCCTTTATCCCAATAATAGTAGAAGGCGTAATCGCCGATAAATCCACCGATCCCGCCTTCTCGTAACCATGAATGAACAAGATCTTTCTTACCTTCCTTCTTAAATATCGTGCCAGGGGTATTTCCTTGCGTGATGATATAGATTCCCTGTGGGTTCGCCTTCATATACTCAGCTAACTCGTCGCTATCCACAATTTCAGCGGTTAACTTTTTTGCCTCAAGCTCCTCCACCATCATTTCTGCTAACTGCTTCGGGTTTGGCACAGCCAAGCCGCCCCCATTTTCAACGGCTTCGTCATAAAAAACAGCGACATCTTGTCCTAATGCGTAGCTCATGCAAATTAGCACCAAAGCACAAGCGAAACAAAATAACCTTTTCATTCTCCTGTCCTCCTCGTCCGCGATCTCAAATCGGTTTTAATGCCATCAAACTTTCATCACCTAATTTAGTATAACACACTTAAGCAGAAATGTTAAGAAGCATTTAATTAGGTCACGGAATTTCGTTCTGGAGAAATTTGTCAAGCGAAAATTGACATTTTTATTAAAGGGTATTAGACTACGGATTAAAACAACCTGTGTGTGAACTTCCAAGGGGATACGAAAGATGCCTAATAATATCCTACAAAAATATGTCCAGAAAATGCAAAAATTGCGAATAGACAGAGCGCACAGTGCAGCACCTAACAAGCCTCTTCTCCTGTTAGCTGTTATCGAACTAATCGAGCAAGGACAGATACCTGAAAATAAAGTCACCCTTTCCCCAGATTTAGCGGAAACTTTCCTGAAATATTGGTCTCGGGTAACGGATCGGAAACCTAATATTGCTATGCCATTTTTCCACTTAAAAAGTGACGGATTCTGGCATCTCCATGCAAATACCGGATACGAAACGGCACTAAGAGTCGTAACTCAAATTAAAACGTTTTCTCGGCTTCGGGAAATTGTTGCGTATGCAAGTTTGGATGATGAACTCTTTACTTTGCTCACCAGTTCATATGACAGAGAGGTGCTCCGTCAAACGCTTATCCAGACGTACCTCTCAGAGTACAAGCAAACAATCGAAGGATCCTCTCAGAAACAGAGCAGATTAGCGTGTATCGGGAGGAACTGCTTCGACGCGTGGAACACGCCTTTTCAACGCAAAACCACATAGAATCCGGTCAAACAGAAGAACCGATTCGTACAGCGGGTTTTCGTCAAGCGATCATGGGAATGTATCACTACACGTGTGCCGTCTGTCAGCTGCGTATCCTCACACTGAATGGAGAAAGTATAACGGAGGCTGCCCACATCATCCCCTTTAGTGAATCATATAATGACGATGTCCGGAATGGAATTTCTCTTTGTAAATCACACCATTGGGCGTTTGAAAAAGGCTTGATTTCGTTGGACAAAAACTATAAAGTGATTGTTTCAGAATTCATATTGGAGCGCGGACCAACAGAATGGCTGCTAACTACCTTGCGCGATAAATCTATACTGTTGCCTGAACATGATGTCCTCTATCCTGCCCAAGAGGCATTGGCGTGGCATCGTGAGCAGGTGCTTACGAAATAACCTAAAGTGGTGTCAAATCTGTTTAGTCCACCTGATTGGTACGTCAACGATAAAGATCACCCGCATCTTCACACAACTCAAGGCAACGTTTAACCCAAGATTCATACCAATACCATTGTCCTTCTACTTCTATACCGTAACCTTTGCTAGGGTTCTTAGCATCTTCTGCTTTCCACATTTTGACATGCTCTGGTTGAGTCTTAAATTTTGCAAAGCCTGCTGCTTGCACCTTTGCAGCAACAGCAGAAGGTAGAAATTTGACGCGCTCTACTTCCTTTGTCGTCACATACAACCTACCGTCCCCCTCAAGAGGAAATGCTGATTCAGGTTTAACAAAGTTAATAATTTTATCTGCTTGCCCTGGGCGGTTAACTAACTTTGGTTGAAACACTAGTCGGATTACATAATTTTCACTGTTACGTTGACCTTCAGTCAGACCAGCATCAAACTCAGCAATATACGTTCTTAGATGCTGTGGAATGTCTGCTTCAAGTTTAGAACCAAGAACTTGTTCCTCCGATAATTTCATGAACTGAATGCTGAATGCCAAATGATCATCAATGCCATATCTGTCTCCAAAGAGATATTTTATATATCGATTGAAGTTCAGAGCACATGCTTGATAGTGACCACTCAGATAATTATCAAGTGACCGAGTCATTTGATGTTCAATCTCATGACGAAGCCCAATCAGAAATAGGAGGTTATTAGTTGTATCAGGATCAATTGGGGACTCATCACGCTCTAGACAAGCTCTAAGTTCCCAATATCTATAAGGACCTCCTTTTTTTGTCCGTTTAAAAATTCTATTTTTGGGACCTTGTTTATAGTAACGGTATTCAATACGTTTAGACCTATAGTAAGCATGAAGCATATAGGTCCATGCTATCACCATAAGTACAATAAAAGTCTCTGACTTGAATAAAACTTGGGGGGAGTTGAAAATTTGGATAGCAGTCAAAGCTGCCTCTCGGGCTTTCGCAAGGAGTTCTAACTTAAAAGATCCGATCGTCCTTTCACGCTTCTTTTTCATAAATATATTATTTCCTCACTTGTACCTAGTAGACTGTCCAGTCTACTAGGTATTCTTTCGTTCTTCGGCTTTTTGATTTGCCATGTCGATAACGCTCGTTAAATTGTTTGAGCGTTCCTGCTTAGCGATGTACCAATCTTTAATCAGCATTTCTATCAACTTGATAAGTGCAGCCGCCTCATTAGGGTCAACATCAATAATCAAATTAATGTACTGCCACCGGAAATTCGGGCCACTCTCTAAGACAAGATTGTGGTATAATATCCATCTACTTGAAAGGAGTATCCGATGGCGAAACGAAAACGAAGAAACTTCACTCCCGAGTTTAAAGCCGAAGTTGTTCTTGAGACTCTCAGCAGTGAAAGTTCCCAAGCAGAAGTGTGTCGGAAACCCCATAACCTCAGCGATGAACAACTTTCAAAGTGGAAGCGAGAGCTTCTTGAAAATGCGGAAACCCCCCCTCTTTGAACCCGCTGATAAACAGTCTGATGCCTCTGCGGAGCGAATCACCCAACTTGAGCAACTTGTTGGGCGGTTGACCCTGGCACTTGACATCCAAAAAAAAGCCTCAACTTACTTGAGTTGACCCCGATGGAGCAGCGAGAAATGGTTGAGGCATTACGGACAGATTTTTCGGTTCGGCAGATATGTGAGACACTCGGCTTCACCCGAAGCAATCTCTATTATCACCCCAAGCAGGACCCGTGTGAAGCGGGCCTCCGGGATGAAATAGAGAAGTTATCTCTGCTGTATCCAACATACGGATATAGGCGTATCACGCAGTTGCTGGTGCGTAGCGGATACACCCTCGGGTATAAACGTGTTGCCCGATTGATGAAATCCGCCAACCTCTCGGTTTCTGTCAAACGTGTCTGTCAAACCACGACATCCGTTGCGGGTGTGCGTCCCTGGGGCAATCGCCTTGAAAACCTTGATGTCTCCCGATGTGATCAGGTCTGGGTGGGCGATATTACCTACGTCCGTCTCAAAGGACACTTCATCTATGTATGTCTGCTCATGGATGTCTTCACTCGCAGGATCAGAGGGTGGCATATCAGTCAACACTTGACGCAATCTCTGACGTTGAAACCCTTAGAGACAGCATTATGTCAAAGTGTCCCAGAGATCCATCATTCTGATCAAGGCGTTCAGTATCTTTCAAATGCGTATATCTCACTGCTTACGCATCATGGGATTGAGATTTCAGTCGCCCGGAGAGGGTGTCCTTGGGAGAACGGATATGCTCAAAGACTTATCCGCACGCTCAAGGAAGAAGAAGTTTATCTCAACGCCTATGACGACATCCACGAAGCGAGAGCCCGCATTGGGCATTTTATTACACAGGTGTATAATCACAAACGCCCTCACTCGGCGTTAGAGTATTTGACACCTGTGGAATTTGAGCAAAAAAACTTGTCTTAACTTTGCTAAATTTTGGTCTGAATAAACGGTAGCACTTCATAATGTCTTCTTCCATGTGAGCACCTATATTTCCAACCGATCTCACTGCATCAATCGCCTGCCAAGTCTGAGGATCGACGTTCGCCTGAATCCCATTAATCTCTGCGAATAGAGTTCGTTCCTTAACACCCCAAAAATCCCTTATCATTCCTTGTAAGCAACGTCTCGCGAGTGTTGCTGAAGCTTTCGGACTTAAATTTTGAATCAGACACGCTTCTTCATAATCTGCAATAATTGGTTCGGGGATATAGTCTGGCAATTGCTTTGCCTGCGATTGAGGTTTCATCTTCCAAGATAGGATTGGATCTTTACTCTTATCTACAAAAATTCTGCCTTCTGCCCTATACGGATCCTTAAAATACCTTTCCGAAGGATTGCTGTAATTGTGTACTCTTGACACTCGCGGTTTGGACAGACAATCACATCAGTTACCAGAACAAAGGCATCATCCCGAAATGCACGCAGAAATGGATGTTCTGATTGGGTGATGTTTGCACCAGTGATTGTTGTAATTCTATTGCAGTAGGGGCAAGTCCAACTAAATGATTGCATTTCAACTCCTTGTATAGATCTATACGGATCCTAAAGCAGATACTAATATCATAACCCAAGTTGCCACTTAAAAGATTGTAGGCATTCAAGCACAATTGTATTGAAAAGTCACAAAAGTCTTCAGCGATACAGATGTCGCCCCGCTGGGGCTTTATCCTTGGGGATAACCCACTTCTACACACATTTCGGCCCGCTGGGGCTTTAACGCATTATAGATCGGGCTTACGAGGTTTCCGTCCGACGATTTATGAAATGTCACCTAAAAATGCGATGAAAATAATACCTTTTATTTCAAGGTAGCAACTTGGATTATTATAGCACATTCAAAGATGGTTGCCCAAAGCCTATTGAAATTGTTTTTCTTTTCTCCTTTATTTGTATGTAATCAGAACCACAGGTGACACTCATGGAAGCCATAAATATGCCCTCCATGAAATCACGGATGCTTACTGAACCGGTATCGCGAAGCACATCTCGCTCCTACAGGACATGGGTGTCTTGGATTTCAAGCATCTTTTGTATTGACCGGTGCGGTTTGAAACTGCTCCATAGGTGTAAATTATACAGCGTCGGTTGGCGCGGTTTATAACTTTACCAGCGAAAAAGGAGGAATCCAGTGGTTCCTGAAATGTCTACGGATTCGCAAATCTGACGATATTTTCACAGTTTTCATAGCAAAGCCGAGAAATCAATAGGTGTCGTGAAAGGGATAAACCCTTACCACGGTTGGGTTTTAGACGGTTTTCATCAAGGGTTGCTATGAAGGTTGCTATGAAAGTTGCTATGAAAACGTGAGTTCGATATAAGTTGGATTGTTGGGTTTCGCTATGCCTATTTTGACTGAAGGTTTTTTGGTCATTCACCGCTCTACCCAACCTACGGAGACTCTTCAAGTTTTATTATCGAACTTACACTTTCACGGAGGCTTCACGGAGGTTTTTACCGGCGTAGGTGTGCCGTGGGTTGCTAAGATGCAATATGCCGTCTCTCCGTGAAAAAACGAATGTGAAAATATAATTAACTTATCGTATCAGTATTTTCAGAGCTGGAGGTGCTTATCTTTTCGGGCGTACTCGACGATTTTCTCAAAGGTAATGTAGGTGTTAATTGTCTGAACCAGGATTTACAGGATTAAAGGATTTGCAGGATTAGAGAACCTTCTTGATTGAAAATTGCCCTTTATAGAATTACCCAATTATTTTATTATAGTAAAGTCCACAATTACTTGGACATCACGGATGGGCGAGGTTACAAACCTCGCCAGTGATGGAGTGGGGTTGGTGCTTCCTGAGATGTCTACATATTTTCGGGCTTTACTATAATCTGGAAAATAGTCGGAGTTTTTCCTTATAGATAACGCAAGTTGCCACCTATTTATAGACATAGCACCCCTACGGGGTGCGGGAA